TACGTAACTCGCATTACTTGTAATGCGTTACCCCCAACACTGTTCTGTAAGCGCAGAATACCTCATCACATCACATTTGCCAAAATTTGCATGTGTACAACAAAGCACACTGCATAGAATATCCCACAGTGCAATCAGCTTTACTTCACCTCCTAGTGTTTTTTTTAGTCATGAATTAAAAACGTGATCTCCAATTTGATTATTTGATCAGACAACCAAAAGATTTAAACATAAATTGAATTAAAAAAAAAATGAATTTTTAAAAACACTCATCATTTTTATAACACACTTTCTCAAAATGAATATCCATTTGACATAATAAACATTAATATTGTGCTGCCTAGGTCCACTTGTAGCATTTAAAACGATTAAATAAATAGCCACAGAGTACAGAATATTTTTAATAATACAATAATTATTAAATAAAAATATTCACTTATACATAATATACATAAACATTGTGTTGCCTACATTCACTTGTAGCATTTAAAATGATTAAATAACAACAGAGTACAGAATATATTTATATTAATAAAAGAATTATTCATTTACTAAATATTCACTTATACATTATTTACATTAATATCGTGTTTCCTGAATTCACTTGTCGCATTTATTATGAAATAAATACTACTATATAACTAATAAATAGTACAGAATATATTTATAATAATAAAATACTAATAAAGTAATACAATTAAGTTATTAAAATATATTAATTAAAATATTTAGAATAAAATAATTAATGTTAATATAATAAAATAATACAATTGTATATTTTTTCATTTTATAATGTTAGTCTTATTTTATAATGTTATGTTTTTTTTGCTTTAGTTTTTTTTCCCCCCAGAGTAATTTAGATTTTCATAACTCTGTCTGATCCTTGGAATTATCCTTGGAATTAAATGGCCCGTTTATGCTTATAAGACTTATAAAGAATGTAAACTCCATCATTACATGCCCACTTTCTTTAGTAACAGACTTTTTGCAAAGCTGCATTACACTTACATGGGTTAAGAAGAAATCAGCCCTAAATTGTTTTGCTTAAACATCTCATTAAAATAAACTTCAGTCACTCATTTCTAATGAAATGAACATTATTTACAAGCATTACTATATTAAGAACTTAAGTGTTTAAGATATTAAGAATTTATCCATTTTAATACTATTCCCCCCTTATTACGAATCTATTGATCACATATTGGCTACGTTCACACTGTCAGTTTTTGGGATTGACAACCGTATTCTGCTGCTGTGTGAACGTGGCATTGTTATTACTAACATAGTATCTTAATTTTCCATATAGAATGCTTTCTGGGTGGCAAATTTATTTATTAGGATTGCGCTGACCATCCTGCACTTGTAGATGTGTATTATAGAGCCGTCCAGTACCAGTTTGTTCTCCATATATTCTGTCAAAATAAACAACTCCTGCAGAAATGGTTGCTCGGACTCATGTTCCTATTGTCTTGTAGGTACTTGAGCTCAGAGAGCCTGCAGGAGGAGAAGTCCTGGCCTGCACTGGATGACAGGCGTGTGGAGGAGGAGAGCTCCACCCTGCAGCACACCCTCCACAACCTCAAGGTGCAGCTGGTGTCCGAGCGAGCCCGGCGGGTGGAGGCCGAGCACGAGACGGAGCTGACGGTGCAAGAAAACAGTGCTCTGGAGGAGCGTCTGAGTCTGCTGGAGGGAGCGCGCCGTCGACAGGCCGAGCTGGAGGCCGAGGTGGAGGAGCTCCGGCAGCTGTGGCGCTCTGAGTCGTCCGGCGCAAGACTGACAGACGCGCTGCTGCCCGACAGCGTTTTCTTCGCCGTGGGGGCGGGGCACGAGGAGGAGGAGGAGCCGGAGGTGGAGCTTTCTCAGGGGAGGCGGCGCTGCAGCAGTGAGAGTTACGTCCGCGGGGCTCAAGCTGAGGATATCCGGCGTGGACACGAGCGCACGTGCATCCGCCGAGCTCAAGCGGTGAAGCAGCGCGGGATCTCGCTTCTCAACGAGGTGGACGCGCAGTATAGCGCGCTTCAGGTGAAATACGAAGAGCTGCTCCGTCGCTGCCAGCAGGGGGCAGACAGCCTCAGCCACAAAGCCGTCCAGACGCCCACCGCTCCTGCGCAGCGCCGCAAAAGCCAGGCAACCACAACAACAGACACCATCTGCCTCGCAGACGAGCTCCATCAGCCAGAATACAAGGCCCTGTTTAAAGAAATCTTCACCTGCATTCAGAAAACCAAAGAGGACCTGAGTGAGAACAGGGCCGGGCAGAGTCAGTGAGTTGGCAGTATTATACATCTTCAGTGTAGTGATCTTCAGCGCTTCTGAATGAACTTGATGGACGTGTTGAGAGTTTTAATAGCGCCGTGGTCTTCGTTTGTGTCGATTGCACTATAAAAACCTGTGCCTATACGCAACACCAAACCGTCCACATCCAAAACTGCAAATGCAGTAGACCTGAACGGTGTTTTTGTACTTTTCTAAGTCTTATTCCAATGATTGAGGCACACGGGATGTGTGGATCTCTGCGATACAGCCATATGTGACACCCGAGTGCATCTGTGCTTGGGGTTTGAAAGCACATCTTGATTTCGTAGAACCACATCTGTGCGGAAGGTCAAGACTTAACCATCCAATGTGCAGAAGGTAGACTAAATTATTATTACTAACGCCTAACACAGTTAACGAATTAACTACTTGATGTAAATCATACGTCTGATAGGGTGGATCTCACAAAACCAAGAACGAGAAGTTTCACCCCAAAATCAAAATAAATATAGTAAATTAAGCCAGTTTTTAGGACCATTTGTTTTGCTTTTTGGCGTTATTTTCATGATAATTAAGCACATTCTGTATTTCTGATTCTCATTACAGTAATGCACGAAAAATGTAATTGTAATATATTTATTCATCGAAGTAGTATTTGTCGAGCTAAATTTGGCGCAAAAACGTATTACAGTAATTAAAATCTAAAAAAAGACATGTTTTTGTGGGATTCATCTGATAAACCTTAAAAATGTAAAAAACCCCGAACAAACATGATTAAGGAATTCTGTACGACAATATGTAGCCATATTCTTCGAGTGTCTAGAAATTTCACAAGCAATATTAAAATTCTTTTTTTATTACTATTTAAACGAAAAGACTGCATGTGATTTCAATGACATTACTAACAATGATATTTGAGGCAATACTGTTTGCTGCTTTTATAAATTGTCTGGTTACCTCAATGGATTGATGTGCTAGCAAAATAGTTACAATTAGCTCGTGCAGATATGCAATATGCTTGAAATTCTTGTGTAACTTTGTGTGAATAGTTTGTTTAGAGCAAATCGTAGTTAAACGTTTGGCAGCCACATTCGCTTAAGTTCCCAGCACTTTGTTTTGACGTTCATGTAAACACCACTGTAAAACTATGCACTTTAGACGACAGGCCTATGGTCAGTTTTGTTTTTGTTTTTGTTCTATTTTATTTATTTTATTATTGTTTTTTTTCCCCGTTCATTGTTGTTGTCCAGAGAGTTTATTTATTTTCTTGTTTGGTATTCATTCACTGTTTTCCAATTTTTTTCTCTCTCTCTTGCCTGTGGGATTATGTCAACAATAGATCGTTACTGATGGCAATACTGTTTGCTGCTTTTATAAATTGTCTGGTTACCTCAATGGATTGATGTGCTAGCAAAATAGTTACAATTAGCTCGTGCAGATATGCAATATGCTTGAAATTCTTGTGTAACTTTGTGTGAATAGTTTGTTTAGAGCAAATCGTAGTTAAACGTTTGGCAGCCACATTCGCTTAAGTTCCCAGCACTTTGTTTTGACGTTCATGTAAACACCACTGTAAAACTATGCACTTTAGACGACAGGCCTATGGTCAGTTTTGTTTTTGTTTTAGTTCCATTTTATTTATTTTATTATTGTTTTTTTTTTCCCCGTTCATTGTTGTTGTCCAGAGAGTTTATTTATTTTCTTGTTTGGTATTCATTCACTGTTTTCCAATTTTTTTCTCTCTCTCTTGCCTGTGGGATTATGTCAACAATAGATCGTTACCGATGTGTTGATATGAAGACACTGAAATGTTGAAAATTTACTAAATGAGGGTGTTCTACGTTTGAGGATCAAAGTCTATTGAACAGATGTTACTTAAGTGTTACACCAACACAAAGTAGAGCATTTTATGTAAGTTGTTGTAAGTAGTTCTCCAGTCAAAGTGGTTTAACAGTTGGTCAAACAATAGCTAATTATTGTGGGTTTATGTCTTTGATAACTTGTATTTCATAAACAAACCATGCGCTACTTAATACTTAATCAGGATCAAGCATGTTCAGGTTCATTTTGTAACATTTTGAAGCTGTTAAATGCCTTGAGTCGGACAGTTTAAGTAGGCTTTGACTTTTTAAATCGACGTATTGCGTAGATGACTAGGAAAGTGACATGTATAGAGAAAAAGAAAGAAGGAAAGTGTTTTTGATATGACTGATATGTCTTAAATAGCAGGCGGAGATCACAGGGAAATGTTCATAGATGGATTGGTCCCGACAAAGACAAATATTTGAATATTGTCTTGAGGGAGCAACATATATTGTGGTGTTTTGCATTTCTGATCTTACTGCTTTTTCAGTGAAAATGGTGCTACTGTATTGCAGCCGTTCCTGCGCTAGGAAAGTTAGCTTTTTATTTTAGGCATAAATTCCTGCCCTTTTCAAATGCCATCTAAAATGATAGCTTATGCTTCTTCTTGGTCAGCGTTGTGTTAGAAGGCTACAGTGTGCATGATCAGACGTTAGTGTGCAGCAAAAATATAGCTCTTGTGCTCAAGATAAAAAAAAAAAAAGAGTTTGTTTGGAAAAAAGAAAAAAGAAGTTAGTTTATCTTCAGGTGTGTTCCTTATGGAAGGCCGTTTCTGCCACTAAATAAAAAATAAAACAAGATAATTGCGAATTTTTATCTCACAATTCTGACTTTTTTTTCCTCAGAATTGCGAGATCATATGCAATTCTGACTTTATAAAACGCAGTTGCGAATTATAAAGTCAGAACTGTGTGATATAAACTCGCAATTGCGAGAGAAAAAAACTCAGAATTGCGACTTTATATCGCGATCGCGTGTTATAAAGTAAGAATTGCAAGATATGAACGGGCAATTCTGAGAAAAAAAAGTCCGAATTGAGATAAAAATTCGCAGTTACCTTGTTTTATTTTTTATTCAGTGGCGGAAACGGCCTTCCATAGTTCCTTGAAACGTATACAAAGAGGTAAATTGACCAAATCTTAAATGCAGAGCAACTATAGCTCTCTGTGTAGAATTGTCTTAACAATTATAGTTATGATATCTTGCAGGTAAAACAATCAATTTGTGATAGCCACATAAAAATCGTGTTTGTATTTGTTGAGAATGTACACGACTGAATCAGTTACCTCTTCCGTCCGGAGTTGATGGTTGTTTCAGCCATACATAAATCTTGAGTTCAGTGTTTTAGGTAAAAGACTTTGAATAGTTTTCTACATTATTTATTACTGTTACTCAGCTGCAGATTATAAAATTTGACGTGCTTAGGAATGCACAAGCTGGGTATAACTGGTTCTTCTTCTCAGAAATACACTGCGCCTTTCTGAAGATCAGTGATCTGTGTATGTAACGGCATGACTAACATCTTTCTTGGGTTGTCCAGAAAATAAAACTGTATGAATGAACCAATTACGCTTGTTCTGGTTTTATTTAACGATGAAATATCCAACATAACAGCTCTTTTTTTATCATTGAGATTCAGAAGAAATGAACTCAAAGCAGGTTTGGGGGCTACACATTAGTTAATGGACAATACGGTTTATTTTGCGTGTTAAAGCTTCAAATAAGACAAAATCATCGTGAAATGAAGTCGTGTATTCCGCATTTCTCTATTTGTTTTAATGTTATATGACTTGTACAAAACGCGGTTCAAGAAAACGCAGTGCTTTAGTAGCAAGAGGATTCACAGCACATTTTTATTCCACTTGTTAATTTATAACTGATGGACTATTTTCTCATCTCACAGTTGTAGCTTACATGATATCACAAACCTAACAGATACAACTTATGGAAAAACAACATCTGCTAAGTCTTAAATACAACAGCCGATAAAAGTATAAAGCAAAATCAAAGATTATATCAGTAGACATTTGCCTTTACAAGTACAGCTTCTGAATATAAAACATAATTTCACTGGCGTTCATTTATGCCATGCATGGCATACATTTACTGCTTTAATGCTTCAAATGTGTAAATGCTGTGTTAGTTGCTCCAAACCTTTACAGACACCAGGGCAAATCAAAAATGTCTCACTTTGAACATTTATCATTTCTTTTTTCAAACACACTAGTCTATTATGTCTGTCATCTGAATTGACGTTGCTTGTGTTTTGAAATATGAACACATATGACACAAATGTAATACTTCAACGGATGTGAGCACGCACACACTCGATCCCACTCATCCCCCCAACACACACCAGCACAGTTCATATGGGGTTCATCAACTGATACTAGAAACAATACTCTTTAAACAGTTTAATGAAAGAAAGAAGAATCATAGGTGACTGTAATGTGTATAGCCTCTCTCTGAGTGTCTGCCTATACAGCATTGGTTCTTTCTGTCTCAGTATTAATATACTTTCTTTCAAACTCATCTTGTTTGAGTTTCTTTGCCGAGGTAGAGACAAAAGGCCTGTATCCTGATTCATCTGAACAAAATATATCTCAGTATTCTTTAATATAAATATCCAAATAGTGTTAATGAAAAGAATATGAATGAAAAAAAAACAGTGTGTGCTGAATCAACAAGTGTTTCGTTTTGTAACGCACACATTTAGGACGTACAACTATAAATGCACTTAATTTTGTGGAAGACCATGCATGGGCAAACAATCGAAATAAATTAAAGACATAACTGGAGAATTCACCAACACTAACTTTTCCAGCATCACAAACAACATATTTAATTTACATAATTTTCTGTCTGCTAAGATCACACTGCTTTTTCTTGCCTATTTCAAGCTATAAATAAATGAATTCTGGCCTAAGTACTAACAAACATCATTTTAACACATAGCTACTACTAGCAGTGACAATATAGTGATACAATATAGTTCCCAAGCAGCTCTACAGGTTACATTTCTTACATTTACCCCAACCCTAAATCACACGCCTCAGTTCTCTCAGGACTATATAGAAAATATATAATGTACAACAAAGTGATTTTTGTTTCTGAGGTGGTGCGGCATTGTGGTTAAAGATCTGATCTGGTAGTAAAACACTGTGGGTTCAAAATAGGGGTGAGTGATATAGCAAGTAAATAAATAAAATAAAAAAAAATTCCAGCCTTTTGACAATACAAATCTAAAAATAATCATCTGAACGAAACAGCCATTGTAGCCCATTGGATTCAAAACGTTTAACAAAACCGTTAAAATTTTGTTTCAAATAATCAATGCATGTTTTTACCATTTTTAAATATATCATGAATACAGAACAATACACAGTAATTATAATGGCAATAATTGTGTTATTTCTTTTTTGTTGAAATAACGGTTTCTTAATTTTTTTCTTATCAGTTTTGTATATTAGGGCTGTGTGTTACACCTAATGTTGTTAAATGAATGTTTATTGCATTATATCAGTTTTATGTGCGTCACCATGATGGTGTTTAGTGTTTGTGTGAATGACACTGTGCACCTTCTATGTATGTTATTATTTAAAAGCTGCTTGTGATGGGCTTTGGTTCATCATGTGACTTTCTCATCACCTCCTGCATTTGGTGGTTATCAGTGTATTACAAAGGAACAAAACAGATTTCAGTACTTCAATAGGTTGGTATATTAACATTATTTCAGTTAAATTAAGTAAAATTAAGTTAAAGCCGTAAAACCTAAAATGTTGCTACCGTATTTTTTACGGTAAAATTCCGGCAACCACAGCTGCCGTTTTTTACCGTAATTTTTTTTACAGTGTATAAATACATTTATACATATAATTTTAAATTTTAAGTATAAATACTCATGCTGAACTAAATGTTCATCACACACATTTAAAATTCCATGTTTATTATACGTGATGCGCTCTACGTATGTGTGTTTATATGCAAATAAAAGTTAAAAAGACTGCATTTCCTCATAATACTTGGATTTAGTATGGATTTTTTATGATGCCTTTATGACCTTTTTGGATCCTCTAAGTTTGGGTTACCTGGACTTTCAATGGAGGGACAGAAATCGCTCGGGTTTCATTAAAAATATCATAATTTGTGTTTGGAAGACGAGTTTTACTATCCTTTTTAACACTCTCAAACTTGTAAGTAAAAATTAGTTAATGACAGTCTTTATAAAACTTAATGGCAAAATAAAAAGGATAGCAAAGGATAGGAGGAATTCACTATATCGCCCAGCCCTTGTTCAAACCCTACATGTGATCCATTAGATTTCTCTTCAAGTGAGACTGAAATATTAAGGCTTCTTATTCCCGTCCTGCAGAGCAGATCATTACGGTAATGAATCCCATCAGGAGCAGCAGGAGCAGCAGGAAGAGGTACTGTGTGTTCGGAAATGACGCAGCTGAACGCGGCGCTCGGCTCCGCAGGTACTGATCCACCGAGTCGGTCAGACTGTACTTCTTAGGTCTGAAGCCCAGTTCTCGCTGCGCCTTCTCGATTTTAAAGGTGTGACTGACAGCAATGTTTCTCACCTGAGAGAGATGCAGAGGTCAGATGGCCATGAACATGCTAAGAGTTCATCTGAGACAGAGATGAGATGATAGTACGGTCCGTTCACCTGCTGTACACATCAAACACACAAGCTTTCAAAGCACAACTGTGCTGCTTTCTCTTGAAAAAGAAGTGCGCTTAACTGTGCTGAAATCGTAGAAGCATATTTTAAAAACTGTACTTAAAAGCAAATAACATTAATAAATTTAAAAGTTGTTTAAATTCATTAAAAGGCTGCTTTAAGTGCACTTAAAGGGAGTGAACTGTTTTTCTTAACATACTTAAGTTCTTTCTTAATACACTTTAAACCTGCACTTAATGTCAAAATGAAGGTAAAAAGTTGTTTAAATTCTTAACATACTTAAGTGCTTTCAAAGCACAACTGTGCTGCTTTCTCTTGAAAAAGAAGTGCGCCTAACTGTGCTGAAATCGTAGAAGCATATTTTAAAAACTGTACTTAAAAGCAAATAACATTAATAAATTAAAAAGTTGTTTAAATTCATTAAAAGGCTGCTTTAAGTGCACTTAAAGGGAGTGAACTGTTTTTCTTAACATACTTAAGTTCTTTCTTAATACACTTTAAACCTGCACTTAATGTCAAAATAAATTAAAAAGTTGTTTAAATTCATTAAAAGGCTGCTTTAAGTGCACTCAAAGAGAGTGAACTGTTTTTCTTAACATACTTAAGTTCTTCCTTAATACACTTTAACCCTGCACTTAATGTCAAAATAAAGGTTTTAACTTTAATGTACAAGTTTGAATAATCTGTTGCCATGATTTAAAGACACTTATTTGTGATGTGTTGACTAAAATACTAAAGCACGTGTGGAGTGCTTGATAAGAATTTTAACTGTAGTGTTTTATGTGATATTACATTTTAAGTTAGTATATTTTACTTAAACTACATCTTCATCATCTAACCCTAATGTGTAATCCTAAATAGATTTGAATACATGTCATACAAGTTTCAAAATAAATTACGTTAAAGCGTTTTAGTTTACTATATAAGCTTGAAATATTAAGCATATTTCAAAGACAATAGAAGTAGTTCTGAAATAAAGATGTACTAAATAAATCCTATATAGGTGGGTCAAAAAAATCACTCTTAAGCTCAACAAGTTGCATTTAATATGAATTTAAACTATAATACGTTTTCATTTCATTGTAAATAACATGCAGTTAAGTGTGTGGAAACATTACATTCAGTTCACTCTTAAGTAGTTTCTAAGTCTATTATTGAACTACTATCACTTTAAAAAGTGTCACCGTCAGGTTGTCTTAAAGCCGAACTCTACGCTGAGAGATGGACTCTGGATTTGACTTCACAGATCGGATTCTGAGGGCTTCACATTTACTAATGGCTTTAATGACCTCCTTTTACCTGGCATTACTTTTACATAAAGCTGCTCTGTACCCGTGCTCTCCTGGCACGATGAAATGCCCCCACAGTCTCTCTCCCCTTACCAGCCTGCAGATTGAGTATCTACATGGAAAATCTCCACTGGGCCGAGAGCCAGAGCAGATGCCCCTGACCCAACACACACTGCTGTCTAGACCAGGGCCATTGGAGCCATCTAAAAAGTGTGTGCTGGGTGAGGGGCCACGATATAAACCTTATCAGCTTAGCTCATGAATATTAAATAGGTGATGCCACCTATTTGTTTAAACAAATTGGTTAGCTGGGTCAGTTAAAAGACAACAAAACCTTGCTTCCTTCCAACTATACTCCAAATCGATTGACTTTAGGAGTCGACCTCCAAATAATCCCATGATGAGACCATGTTATGAATCTGACTGTCGCCATCTAGTGGACAAAACACCACAAAGTCTCCCCAAACAATGGCTGAAATACAAAACACTCAAATGTAATTTGTTTCGAAGTACACCATGCACACAAGTTTGGCATTTGTGTATTTTAAAAATACATAAAACACTTGTGCAAGTCATCTTCTTTATTCGGCTGCTGATTTACAGCATTAGCTAGTTCAGGCGGGCGAGCTAATTTTCTGCAATCGTACCAGGGGATTTTGGAAACGGACTGGGACTTGATTAGTTCTCCAGGTTTGAGGTGTTTCGGAATCGAGAGTCGATTCCAAAGGCTGAAACGGATTCCACTCCAGTGAAATCCTCAGTCAATTCGAGAACAATGCCAAAATTCAATTCACTATCCTAAAAAGCTAATCTAGAAATAAACTGTTCACACAATAGTTATTACTTAACTGTTATTAGTTAGGGTTCTATATTTGTATTGTTTGGCTTTTAATTGTTTTTTTAATCTGTTTTTATCGTTCTATTATTTTTATAATTAATACTATCAATTTAATTTAACTTTCTTTATGTTTTTGTATTAAATTGTATGCTATATGGAGTGAGGTTATGCCTTCGTGAACCCTTCATCTATTGTAATTATTAAGTGCGACTTAAAGCAGGGGTTCTCAAACCTGTCCTGGAGGACCCCTAGCCATGCACATTTTGTATGTCTCCCTTATCAGACACACCCAATTCATGTCTTGCAGTACAAGCTAATGAGTTGAATCAAGTGCGTAAGATAAGGGAGACATACCCTACGTTCCATTCAGAAGGGCTCATCCCTATGCCCTAATCCCTTCAAAGGGTTTACCCTCCGGAGTGAGAGCTTCGAAGGGTTGAAGGGTGTAGGGGACCAAACAACTGTTTCTTGAAATGCCCTTCTGCGTCATTATCACGTGCCCACACGGAGGCGCTGTCATCATGCAAAGAATCTGCGCAAAGGCTCATGGGAGCCCTAAGTGTAATCCTTCATTCCGAAGGGCCCTTTAAAGTGGCCAGTTTTGAGCTCTTCGGTTTGGAACGACCCTTCAATATGGAGGCCATGACTGCCCTTCGGAGGGCGATATATCCCGTTTGGAACACACCGATACAAAATGTGCAGGCTAGGGGTCCTCCAGGACAGGTTTGAGAACCACTGACTTAAAGGGATAGCTCACCCAAAAATGAAAATTACCCCATAATTTACTCACCACTTTACTCAGATTGTATTTGCGATATCAAAAAAAATCATGGGGTAATTTTCATTTTTGGGTGAACTATACCTTTAAGTGCCCAAAAGTGTCCCATTAGATTTAGGGCCACTGAATAGACAGTAAGATTTGGATCAGAAACTGGGATGGGGATTGCCATTGTGTTTGATATACCCATTTCCTGGATTAATTTAAGTGTGTGGGTGGGTTTCTTTCCTCAGTGGCACTTGTCCGTCTCAAACTCAAAGATCCAGCAAGAAGCTGGTGTCTCATGTTTTATTCACAATGCAATCATCAAACCTGCCGCCATCTGACCAGAATCGCCCCTTCAGCTCCTGGCTTCTGTTTCTCATGACTAATGCATGACACAGCGCCAGTGCACGCCCAGCTCCACTAACTTAACTCTTTCTTGCTCTGCCTTTATGCCAACTTGTTTGTCACCCTTAACTACCCTCTCAGAATCAACTGTGATATTTAAACAGCTGGAGGAGACACAATGTGTTTCACAGACACGATTTATCAGGCCTGTCTAATTACAGAATGTAAACTCTGTTCATTACGTTAAGTTCAGGAGTACTAGAGCTGGCTTGCATGTTAAGGAGAGTTTAAGGAAGTACCTGATGGTAACCTAAGATGCCTTACTCAGGTTATAGTTGTCACCATGACACCAACATCTTCAGTGTATCTCACACACATACATCTGGCAGTAGCAATATAGCTTAAATTATAAAATTCTTACAATCATATGTTGATTTGTTGGTTTTCAATATAGATATGAATATGTTTCCATTATTTTTGCAAGGCTTCTTTACATGCGCCTACCAGTTCAGGTGCGCTTGACTAGGGTTAAAGATAAACTCTTCAGGACAGTGGGTCTCCAGTAGCAGAGCTGAAGACCTCTGCTTTAGAGAAACCAACTTTGCCCAATGAATAATGGTCTTCAAAAATGTAATAAAGAAAATCTAAACAGAGGTTTGTGGGAAGCGTGTTCATCTAATCATGTCAAATGCAATGAATGAGTAAGCATGTATAAATGACACCTCAATTTTTCCAGCATCCCTCCATTACTCCACTTGACGTTTATTTCTATTTATTGCTGAATTCAATTTAGGTAGTCCAGGAGCATACTTTAATCTCAAGTCAGAGTCTCAAACATTAAACAGTTTCATGTGAAACTATAAAATGGTAAAATAATAAATATCAAAGTTATTGTGACACTCACAAGTATCCAATATATCACCCAGCCCTATCTACTTGCATAAAAAAATAAATAGAATAAATAAAACTGCTCCTCTAGATGCTTTTCTTTTTTCTGAGCTCTCTGTTTGTTAACAGTTTAATTACTTATAAATAGCGAAGGGAAACTGCAATGTCACGCTGCTTTTCAAGATGGCATCAAAACAACTTAATTAGGAAAAAGTGATTAGGAAAACTGTAGACAATGCAGTGAAGGCTGGAGGAAACATATTTACCTCGTTTCTTGTCAGAAGTAATGGAATTTCCATTATAGGACTCAGAGCCACATGCAGTCGCTCCATCAAAATTGCTGAAGAAAACAAGAATGTGTGATACAGCTGTATTTTCAAAAATATATATATATTTTTTAAATTTATTTATTTTTATAAAATGTGTACATTTTAATTTCACTTTAGTCATACCTGCTGAGTAGACCAGAGAAACAGGAAGGTGAATCAATGGCCGACCATAACCTAGTCTTTCAAACTGCAGATAAATAAAGGTACAGTTCCTTAAAATAGTAAATAATTGTAATATACATGCATTAATTATAAATACTTGGTTTGATTGCTACTCACCAGAGGTGTCAACCATTCAAAGACATTGACAGACTCCCCATCATTGATAAAATAAACCTGTCCACTCTAAAAAAAAAAAAATCACAAATTCACAATACATTATAACTGATCTGGGTTCAAAACTGCTGATTGTAATAAGAACATAAATTATATCATTCCACACATACCGCCACAAAAGCTTTATCTGCAGTGAGTGCTTCTGCTGCTAAAACATGAGCCATCACCAGATTATCCACATGTACCCAGTTCATCTTGGCATTAGGGTCCCCAAAATGAAAGCTGAACAACCTCCTCTCCACATTCACCTAAAAAAAGAGAAGAGAAGAGAATAAAAAAAACTTTGTCTCTGTATTCAGCACTCAAGACTTCACAGAGATAACAACACTCTCTAACTGAGGGGCACAAGAATGTGAAGGTACATGAGGTAGAAAAGACATGCATGTGTCTGTATGTACACTGACGGCCCAAGCACAGACAGTCGTGTGTATGTCTGTAGAGTCACAACAGAAGCACAGACAGCCGTGTATGTCTGTAGAGTTACAACAGAAGCACAGACAGCCGTGTATGTCTGTAGAGTTACAACAGAAGCACAGACAGTCGTGTGTATGTCTGTAGAGTCACAGCAGAAGCACAGACAGTCGTGTGTATGTCTGTAGAGTCAAAGCAGAAGCACATCCAGTCGTGTATATGTCTGTAGAGTCACAGCAGAAGCACAGGCAATCATGTTTGTCTGTAGAGTCACAACAGAAGCACAGACAGTCGTGTATGTCTGTAGAGTCACAGCAGAAGCACAGACAGTTGTATGTATGTCTGTAGAGTCACAGCAGAAGCACAGACAGTTGTATGTATGTCTGTAGAGTCACAGCAGGAGCACAGACAGTCATATACAGTGGGGGAGTCACAGCAGAAGCACAGACAGTTGTATGTATGTCTGTAGAGTCACAGCAGGAGCACAGACAGTCATATATGTCTGTAGAGTCACAGCAGGAGCACAGACAGTCATATATGTCTGTAGAGTCACAGCAGAAGCACAGATAGTCGTGTATGTCTGTAGAGTCACAGCAGAAGTGCAGACATTCGTGTTTGTCTGTAGAGTTACAGCAGAAGCACAGACAGTCGTGTATGTCTGTAGAGTTACAGCAGAAGCACAGACAGTTGTATGTATGTCTGTAAAGTTACAGCAGAAGCACAGACAGTTGTATGTATGTCTGTAGAGTTACAGCAGAAGCACAGACAGTCATGTATGTCTGTAGAGTTACAGCAGAAGCACAGACAGTCGTGTATGTCTGTAGAGTTACAGCAGAAGCACAGACAGTTGTATGTATGTCTGTAAAGTTACAGCAGAAGCACAGACAGTTGTATGTATGTCTGTAGAGTTACAGCAGAAGCACAGACAGTCGTGTATGTCTCTAGTGTCACAGCAGAAGCACAGACAGTTGTGTATGTCTGTAGAGTCAC